TATATACACACACTTTATATATGTATGTGTACTTGTGTCACCAGCATGATCAAAACAAAGTTTTGAAAGGCTTCTGCGCACATCATTTTCACCTCCATCGCTCTGTTATTTGTGGAGTGTCTGGAAAATTGAGTACCCCTTTACATTGCTCCTAAGCAGAAAAGGAGATCCCAGAAAAAAAAAACCAAGTGCTGTTTATTCCTGGCAGTTATACACATAGGAGCTGTTTTCTTTGAGTGCCCATGTTATTAGTGTTTATACTATTTATAAGCATATGTTCTTGTTTGAGTTGTGCATACTATGCTCTTACTTGCGTCTTTGTATTACCGCAGTGCTCTAAACTGGGAACTCACTTGAATTCTTTGGTGAACCGGTACCAGCAGTTCCAGGAGGGCTCTGATGCAGCTTTAGCCTGGCTGCAGAACACAGAGTTAACTGTGGAGAAAATGCTTTCTGAACCAGTGGCATCCAATCCAGTAGCTTTGCAGGCCCAGCTAGAGAAGGCCAAGGTAAGCTTATCTTATCACAGGTGTTAAGGAAAATGAAATAAGTTGGGATTCTGCCTTGAGATTGTCTCAATCTGATGTGCTTTTGCCATTCTTCACAGAACATGCAGTGTGATCTTGCAGAGCACCAAGTACAGGTTGACAAAGTACAAAAGGCATTACGTGGTCTGCTGGATGTCCAAGAAGATCCACTTCCAGACTGCAAAAAAATTCAGGCAACAGCTGGTGAGTGCATAAAAGAAGCTTAACTTTGATCAGGAAATGTATATTAAAAGGTAGAGGCTGTCTTACAGTATTGCTACATAAAACATTTGCTTCCTTTATAGCCTCCATTGAAAGTCGGTTCCAAAGCCTCTCTAGCAAGATGTCCAATCGCACAGATTTACTGCAGAAGTCAGTAGCCCAGTCACAGAGTGTTCAAGAAGGTTTGGATAACCTTCTACACTGGTTGGAAGGAATGGAGAAGACATTAGAAAGTCAAAAACAAGCATCTATGTCATCTTCATCCATTCAGGAGGCGCTTGCACAAAATATTGTAAGTTTTCTTTTTGTTTTTCTTATACAAATATAATGAAGATTATCAGAAGTGTTTTTGTGGTATTAACGTAGTAAAAGCAGCTGCAAAACTAAGCCTGCAGAATTGACATTTAACAAAGAGCTTGTTCCTAACACATTTATCAACCTGAGTGTCCACACTTTTTCTGCATATTGCATTTTTAAAATGATCACACAAATTTGAAGCAAATAGTTGAAGCAATGGTGAGACCAGCAGGACACATAAAGGAAACTTGTGAGATTAGAAATGCTGGAGCTGTTTGACAAATTGATTTTAAAGGTACAGTCTCCAGGTCTCGTAAGCCTGATTCTGGCTTTACTACCCAGTAAAGAAATAAAGACCTTGAAGAAATATTATATAGAATATATAATATTAGAACAGGAAGAGAAGAAATATTCTATTGGGGATCCTTGTCCCAGTGACAAATGTCTAAGAAGGCATTTTCTTCACTTTAGAGAGACTTTTTCTTGCTTACTGCTGTGTCTACAGAAAAGGAAATAATGGTACATTTTCCCAAATGGGAAGGGTAAAACCCCCTGTGAGATTTCATCCTTCCCTTTTCCATCCAAAATGAAAAGTAATATTTTAGCTTTTTAAGTTTTGGATCTGCGCTTAATGGATGCTCTAAGATGTCAATTAAAAGCTGCTGCACTATAGACAAGCTAATCATTCAATTAGAGGGAAATGAATCTAACTCTGTGATAACCTAATAAAGTGTATACATCTTCTGATATTCCATCTAGAAATCCATGATCTGATTGTGAACAACTTGATAAGTGAAATCAATCAATAAGTGGAGGCCACTCTATGCATTAGATGCTAACCTCGTGCAACAACATAAGTGTCAATAGAAATGTGGGTCTAGTACTATTAATAATACCTGTCCCTCAATCCTTATATACCATAATCTCAATATATGTGTATCAATTAATAGTGATGAGTGTAAATATTGAATTGGTATTAATTAAATGCATAAAGTGAACACCTATAAAATGAGTGCAAAAAAAAACAACCTTAATAACCATCAATCGTTATACAAACACTTGTATATGAAAAATTTGAGACCTGCGTGAACCCACTGAAGTTGTTGTAATGACGAAATGCGTAGGGGCGGATCTATCATACGTCATACCAAACACGGAAGTACGACTGTTGTACTACCAAACCGGCCGGCTGAGACTTTGTTACTTTTTAAACTTATTTTAAATAAATGCTTTTTGGAAATTCTACACAATGAGGAGCCTTTTCTTTTTATGAATATGTAGATACATCACTTTCTGGATACCGACTGAAAAAGGGTACACTGAAGACACTGCAGCACTGTGAGTTATCAAACTAACGCCTGTTTGGCTGTTTGTCACAGCCAACACATTGCGGTGAGTGCACACTTTGGAGGGGGGGCGTCTGACAGTTACATGATCTCCAGCAAATCTCACTAAACCTTTCCTGGAGGTCCCACTTTATTGCACAGATTGGTGGGAGATAGGATTTGGCACAGAGACTTCTGGGTGGACTAATCACGGTGTTTACACTATGAGCACCTAAGGGTTATCCATTACTTGTGGATAGAAGACTATCCACATTTTTCATATATAAGTGTTTGTATAACGATTGATGGTTATTAAGGTTGTTTATTTTGCACTCATTTTATAGGTGTTCACTTTATGCATTTAATTAATACCAATTCAATATTTACACTCATCACTATTAATTGATACACATATATTGAGATTGTGGTATGTAAGGATTGAGGGACAGGTATTATTAATAGTACTAGACCCACATTTCTATTGACACTTATGTTGTTGCACGAGGTTAGCATCTAATGCATAGAGCGGCCTCCACTTATTGATTGATTTCACTTATCAAGTTGTTCACAATCAGATCATGGATTTCTAGATGGAATATCAGAAGATGTATACACTTTATTAGGTTATCACAGAGTTAGATGAATTTCCCTCTAATTGAATGATTAGCGCTGTATATCTGGTATAACAATGTTTTAGCTTTAGTTATATTTTAAGTATATTGCATTGTATGATGCTTAGCTATGGGTTGTCTTCTAGAAACTAAAACAGGACATTGGAAGCAGGAGGGGAAGCCTGGATGCCACTGGAGAAATGGTAGGGAAGTTTATGGAGACTGCAGACAAAGCTGCAGCGACTGCTCTTCAGAACAAGCTGTCTGATGTCACTACACGTTTTAATCAAGTCTGTGAGCAGCAAATTCAGCAAGAGACTGTTCTTAAAGAGATCCTGCCACAAGTGGAAAGATATGAACAAATTTCAGATGCACTACAAGATTTCAAAGCAACCAAATTCCAGTTATTGGCCTCAGGAAACCAGCCCGACAGAGACATTGCCCAGTTCTCAGAACAAATCCAGGTTTGTCTCATAAAGTATTGTAAATGTATCATCAAATGTTTGATATGTATATTGTATGAAACTTCCGTACAGACAATGATTAAAGTTTATTACTTATGCTAGGAATTGAATGCAGAGATAAAGCAGCAGACAGAGCAGTTGGGTACTCTGGAACAGCTGGCAAAGGAGCTGAGTACATGTCCTGTGCTGCTGGACTCATCTGAGCACTTACAGAAGGTGCAAGTGCTGAAAAAAGAATTTCATGATCTCCAGGAGGCTGCAAGCGAGAGGTAATGTTTCTAAACCAAATTGTTACCTTGGTGTGAAGGTCCCTTTTGTTTCCATTTACTCAGTCTGTTTTATGATAGGGAGCGGGAAGCCTTGTCCTGCCAAGAAGAATTGCAGAAGTTCCGAAGGTTAGTTAGCGTCATGAGAAAATGGCTGAAAGACAATGAAGAGAATGTTCCTCCAACAGAAGAATCTCTTGGATCAATGGAGATCCAGAAAAGGCTTCAACAAGTCCAGGTAAAACAAATGAAAGTCATTGATGAATTGTGACAGATCAGGTGAAATTGTTTAAAATGCAGTATGCTGCCTGACTATTAAATAATTTGTCTGTTTAGTATTACCACTATTTTGGAAATAACTAATCTTTGGTACAATTGGGACAATTTGGCAGGATACTTATTTTTCTAGTATAGTTAATAAAGTACGGTTCCCATGGTGGGACTACCACTATATCATAGATAATTAGACCATTGATTGATTCTTGATTACATTGAATGTATCCTCAAAATGTACTATTGATAAATAATTCTCCAATAGGCCCATACTCTAGTAAATCAGGCATATTGATGCTGGAAGCTTCACTGTAAGCAATAACCTTATTGGGAGGAGAGCACATGATTTTGTTTTTGTATAAAAAACTGTTAAAAAAAAAAAAAAGGAACACAGACTTGAGGGAACAGCTTGAGTTAATGGACAACAGAGCAGGTTTTTCATTTTTGTACTTATCTTTCCTTAACACTTATTCGCTTTATCAGAACTGCAGGTAACTGCATAGTTGTATTAATAACCTAATGCATTTTTACTGTGATTATGTGAAGATCTCTGGCAAACAGGAACCTTTTTAAAGAACAACTCTGAACAAACAAAATCTTAACCCTTGCAGTGGGGCTACCCACACAATATAACTCTGTATCCTCTGTATGTACAGTATAACTCTGTTATTTTAGCTACATAGTCAAAAGGAGCACTTAAGTGTTAAGATTTTATTGGCCTGGAGTTTTTCTTTAATGGTATGTTGGAATGTTGGCCAAGTGTTTTTAGTATATGTTTATAATTGATGTATAACTGATTGTAAAAGTAACTTTACTGTACAAAGATTAATCAGGAACATCGATTTGTAAAGTACTTAAGCTCAGCAGGTAATATATTGTCATTGTATACTCCATAGGACCTCTTAAAGGAGTGGCAAGTAAAAGGCCCACTTGTAGAGGAGATCACACAAAAGGGATCTGAATTGGAGAGCAGAATTATGGAGATCACTGCAGCAGAAAGCCAACTGCAGAGAGGTAAGGTTCATTGTACTATGTACGTCTTTTTCATGGCATCCTTTTTCATAAATCTTCACTGCATTTCATTTCTCTTGTTCCTGCCAACCACTTTTTCTATCTACCACCCTGCCACTCCTACCCATTGATCCCTTTCTCATATCTTCCTGCTTTTACATGTACTTCAATAATCATCCTCCTCTATAGCTCTATTTGCTGCTTCATTTCTTAAAGCTAAACTCTAGATAAACACCTACATTTACAGTTGTACTACATATATGTGAACTGATTTATCTGTTGAAGAATTTGTCATTTTGATCTGGTAGTCTTATGTTTTATCTACCCCTAACATACAGCATAACCAGATAGATGACACTCCTGTATCTGTGCATAGCTTGGCATTTTACAGTGTCGCCCCGCAACATCCAGCCTGCTCATTGGATAAGTAAATTGACAGCATCATCACATTTGTGGTTCATTGTTCTATGAGGAGGCTGGTAACACGGGGCACTGTAGAAATGAACCACGGAATAGTGGCAGCGCACTGTGGGCTGAGAATCACAAGACTTACAAATCATGTGGCAGGTTAAACAGTTTGCTTATATACATTTCAGACATGTTGAATTGTTTATTTGGTGATCTGATTAAGACTTATGTAATGCTTCTTTCCTTGTGTTCATTATTGGTCTCACAAAATTCTTAGGCTTCAGATATGCCTTCCTTTGTACACCACTCTTTTAAAAGATTATAAGCTAGGAAAATTCCTGTTTGTCAAATATCAAATCTAGAGGATGTTCTTTCATTGAATTTACTGTTGCTGATGTATAGACATTATGAATATGCTGTGTTTGTGAATTAAGCTGTGGCTGCCTGCATACATGTGCAGATCACCCATTCTATGTCAGATATCATGTTGGTGTAGATTTTGCTTTGGGGAGTTCTGTTTCTTTAAGCTGCTATTTGTGTATTTTCATGGCAAATAAACGACTTTCCTAAAACAGAACTCCAAGGAAAAAGACTGGATTTTGCTGTGTATAAAAAAAAGATACAGTACCTCTAATGATAGTTATCCAATGTCTGGATGGCTGCTACAGCATGTAAAGTAAAAATCTTAGTTTCATTCATGCCAGACATGACTTTTAGCTGCGAACTTCCGGCACTGTGGCTCCCTAACAGAGATGGGATCCTGTTGTTTCCCCTTCTTTTCCTCTATCCTTTTCTGTTAACAAAATGTCTTGTACAGTATTATGTTTACAGAATACAAAGGGGAGAATTTAATAAGGCCCCTTTTACCCGTGCAGACTTTTCAGATCTACCTTCCGTTTTTTAGGTGGATCCGAGGCGCAATGGATGTACACAGATGTGTATACATTTACATCTGATTACCCCAGACTCTATCTTGGTTCGGAAAAAAAAAAGGGAACATAGTTCTGTTTGGCAGACCTATTTGCAACGTATTGGAGGTAGTCGGATGTAAACGGACACATGTCCTCTTATATAGGACTCCCCATAGACCTGACATGGATCCGGTTAGTTCAGGTTTTTCCTCCACTGCAAGATGAAGGAAAAACTGAACGAACATGGGTGTCACAAGAGCGACATCCATTCCATAATGCTTCGATCAGCAGGGGTTCCGTGCTGATCGAAGCACGGCCCGCGTGAAAGAGGCCTAAAACTGGAGCAGCTGTGCATGCTAATCAATCAGCTTGTTGAATTAGGCTTTGACAATTAAACCAAGAAGCTGATTAGTTGTTATGCAGCCTCTCCAGATTTTGTCTACTCCTGTCTTACTAAATTCTCCTTAAGGTGTCCTATGAATGGACAAGGGGAAATCCCTTTGTTTGCCCTTCCCCCTCTCCCCTTATCCATTTAACAGAACGCCTTGTATGCTGTGAATGGATTACAAGCCCCTTTGTGAATGGACAATAGGAAAGGAAAGTGGAGGGTAAATGATAGGGTTTCACTGTATGATAGCTGCAGCACTCAGCCGCAGTGCCGGAGGTTTGGTGCTGACAGTAGTATCTGGCATGAATAAAACTAAGATTTTTACCATACAAAGCAGCCATCTGGGCCTGGGGGTAACCATTGCTATGTTATTTGTACACAGCAAATGTCTGAAAAACCTCTTTCCTGGAGTTTTGCTTTAACAATCAATTTTGTACAAAACTGATTGTTAAAGCAAAATTAGGAAAATGCAGCATAATGCCTAATGGTGTGTTCAGTTACACACACAAAAAAAAAAAAGGTTGTGCTTGCTTCTGAACTCTCCATGTATTTATGGCAAAAATAAAACTTGTGTTATGACTAAAGGTGGCCATACACTGTACAACCATCGCAAGACCTTAGTCTTGCGATGGTTGTAAAGTGATTAAAAATACGTACGATCTGCCCATCTTGGACAGCCCGCCCCCCTGAGGCGTACACCGGTCCGTTCGGCATTTGTCTCCCGAGCACCGTTCAAACCAGCCGAAAATCGTACGATTTTCGGCTGGTTTTCTAGCGTGCTCCTTAGACAAAAGACGTGCGACCGTACAGTAGAAACGGTCGCACGTCTTCGTTTCCTAAATTACTATATAATAGTAAGACATAAGGCCCAATTGACTAAAGGTGCCCATACACTGCTCGATTCTCGTACGAGAATCGAGCAGTGTATGGGCACCTTTAGTCAATTGGGCCTTATGTCTTACTATTATATAGTCATTTAGGAAAGGCTCAGATTCTGGTGACAAGGCACTAGAGGCACTGATCAGACTTTTTACTACAAAACAAAAAAGTAACCAGCTAGTGTTAATAGTCCCAGGAGTATGGTGTGGTTTGGTACATCTGTTTTTAGGTTAGCAGTCAGTACATACTATGAGAGGAATTTATCAAAACTGGAGCAGACAAAATCTGGAGCAGCTCTGCATGGCAACCAATCAGCGTCTCTCTTTTATTTTAAAATCTTAACTGAACAAACTGAAGAGAGAAGCTGATTGGTTACCATGGACAATTGCTCCAGATTCTGTCTGCTCCAGTTTTGACAAACTCCCCTCTATATATTTAATGATGTTATTTGTAGGCATCCTATGGTTTCTATTGCTTGTTTAGTTGCAGTGATGACCTAAGTTAGTAGTTATTGGCAGCGTATGATAACCTGGCAGTTCCTTGATCTTTCTGGCTTAGGACAGTTCATGGTACTGTTTTTTTTTATCTCTCATAGATCTACTGTATCAACCCATTTGATCTATGTGTAGCTGCTTTCTGTCCTGCATATATCAATTTTAAGTACATTCTCTGCTTTCCATAAGATGTTGATAATAGGATTTGAATTGAGTATAGTGCATGTTAATGGGAGTGGGATGTTGATTTGGCATTGTGCGGTGTTTGCTGTGTGTCATTTCAGTTAATTAGAACCTTCTGAGAAGTGTTCAGTGCTGAGAGGATGCCATATTAAAAAATACCAAGCTTATGCAATGTCTGTTTATGATCTTTTTCCTGCTCTGTGTCTGTAATCTTAATGTGTTTGTGATGTGCCTGCTTTGCCTTCTTGTCCTGTTCAGGTTCTGTGCTGATGGCCTCAGTGAGCACTTTAGGGAATGTTAATGGATATCATACATGCCAAGGTGAGCCAGTCTACTTGCTGCTGACTCTCAAGATTTGTTTCATTTGTGCTGCAAAAATGATTCCCCCTTCACTAATGATGTCCCTTTCTGCTAGATTTGACTGGCATCCAGTGTGATGTCTCTGAGATCAGCCAAAAGTATGATGACCTTGGATTGGTGCTAAAAAATAGAGAAGAACAATTGTCCACTATGCAGGGAAAAATACAGAAAGTTCAACAAGAAACAAATGAGATGCTGAAGTGGTTAGAGTCCAAAGAACAAGTAATAACTGCAGTCAATGTGTCTCCAAAGAAGTCCGAGATAGTTAAAGCCCAGGTTGAACAGAACAAGGTAAGATAATGTGCTTTGTGATGTGTAATTTGAGATTAGACATATGACATTTTTACTTTTCCTATCGTAGATCTACCTGGTTCTAGCAGTCCTTAAATTATGGTCACAGCTTAAGAACAATATCCCATTTTAGTTTGGAGCCCAAACAAGGAAGGTTTAGAAAAAGGGTAGCCAAACTTTGGCCCTCCAGCTGTGGTAAAACTGCAAATCCCATCATGCTTCTGATTCTGGAAGTCGTGCTTGTGGTTGTCAGAGTCTAGCAATGCCTTAACCAGTGGGTCTTGTAGTTCCAAAACAACTGGAGGGCCCAAGTTTGGATACCCCTGGTTTTCAAACCTCTTGCCAAGTTTTTATTGCCACAATGTGTCTTATTAGGAGAGGAAATTATTGGAAATTTCTCTAACGGGCACAGTCTAACAGTGGGGAAGGGTTGGAACATCTGACAACTTTTTTATTGCAGTCAATGCCTTTCTCTCCTGGTGACTGCCCCATCTCCTATGTCTTGTACAGGTATCACGGGGGCAATAAAATGTCAGTCTTCCTACTGGAAAAAAAAAAAGACAAAGTCTTCCCCATTCTTAAAAAAAAATAAAGAGTTTTGCTGGAATTGGGCTATGATATCATTATATGTCAGAGTTGCTAGTGTACATTTCAGGTTTACAAGGTTGCCTACTTTTCTTCTGTTGAATGACTTGTAAGGTGACAACATATAAAGAAATTATCAAAATGTTATGAGATAAAAGGACTTTGGGCTTGTGTTGACATCAGTTTGAGATGCTTCTTAGATCACTCAGAATACATTGACGGGTGCATCTGACCTGCAGTTGACCTGCTTCAGGGCTTGTTTCCACCAGCCCGCGCATCAACTGCAATGTCTTGTGCCCGGAACGCAAGGGATTGCATACATAAAGTCTTCTTGCGTCTCCTTGCAGACACGCCCCCCACCCGCAGTACAATCGGCCGCACAGGAACGCGTGATAATAAAATGTCCTGTCTTCCAGTGCAGTGGGATTGCAAAAAATAATTTTTTGGGGGGGGGGGGGTTTGTCTGCATTGCCATTGACTTCAATGGCACTACCACGCCCCAAAACGCAAGGAGACCTTTATGTATGCGGTCCCTTGCGTTCCTGGCACGGGACATTGCGGTAGACGTGTGGGCTGGTGGAAACAAGCCCTCTAGCAGGTTTTACATTCCCATAGACTTCTATAGAAATTGAAAACCCATTTGAAAAGAACAAAAGCCAGGCCAACACAGACCCTAAGGCACATAGCTTTCAGTTTTTGGTCTAGGCTAGAAAGAGTAATTTCTGACATAACTTATCGAATGATTAGCTTATCAGAAAAACTACAGGATTATTTTATTGTCATTGCTGAGAGGGCTCACAACATGCAGTAAACTGGCTGAGTTCTCTTCATCAGAGACATAACACAAGTAATGTCTTCATACGTTTTAATTGCCTGCACAAACTAATATTGTACTGTTAAAATTCCAGTATTTCATGGACATTTTATAAATAGGTCATTTGTACACAGCTGTGCATGAGATGAAACCTTCACCAATAAAAGAGTACTTCCTCATTTCCTCATGCAGTAGGTCAGTAATTAGACAAATAAACATGCTTTCACATTGTCTGATGGTGTAAGGATTAACGTTTCCATGTCATAAAATGTGTACAGTGGTCCAGACCATTTTGAATGCATGCCTGCAGTTATCTAGGCACTGAAGAGTGTTGAAAGCACCTGATTGTAAGCAAGGTTCTGCTATAGTGTCAGAGCTTTAAATAGAAGGTGTCAGAAACTGTGATTTCCCTTCCTGTCTGTTCAGCAATAGCAGCATTAACTTAAAAAAATATACTGTATATAAAAGCTGTTTTTAGGTTTAGTTTTCTCCAGTACTGTGATCTGAGCTCCTATTTGACAGATTTGCTGTAAAACCTCCGGACAAACATAAAATATGTATCATTTAGTCTTTACCATGTTTTTGTGTTTACTATGTTTTATATTTTTTATTTCTGCATTAAATTATCATCTCAAAGTGACTATGAATATGCATAAAGTATGCTTTAGGCTAAGTGTTCAGTACATTTTTTTTGTGCTTCTGTCTGACAAAGAGTGAAATAAATGTTCCCCTCTAATGACAAAACATTGTATAAAAGTCTTCTTTGGATTGTTACATTGTGCTTTGTGAGCAAATATTTGTGGTCATGGTCTGCTTGTTAATACGCATGAGCACTGATTCTAGCTACTTTCTTGAAGAAATCGAGAACATACAAAAAACCTTCTTATTATTTTTCAAGGGAGTACAAAACTGTTAGAACATATTTTATATGCTTTCAACCAAATATTCTGTTTCACACTAACCTAATAAGTGGAAAAAAAGTCTTCTGCTCGCGACTATTTAGTCAGATATTTTTTTTTTTACATTTTGGATAATGTAGGGAAGGATTAAAACATGTGGAGTGCCGCTTACAGATGCGGCCGCTGTCACCCGATCATTATCTTGAATGGGTGACAGCAGCCGCATCTAAACAGAATATTTGGGATTCCTGCCGCAGGAATCGCAAGTCGCACATTCTCACATAGTGTGGTTGTAGCCTAAGAGTCAAGGGGAGAAAGATTTTATTGGCAATACATTGTTTAGACAATGTGGGTGATCACACCCAGATGGCAGCGAGCACTAGTTGGGAAGTAATGTGTTTGGCTCCCACCTTCTTAACTGTGACCATAGCGAGTGTAAAGTACATGCATACTTTTATACTCATTTGTGTACACATTTTCACTTGCTTCTGTGGTCATGCATGCTTTTTCTATTGCTGATGCTTGTGCACATGTGGAAATGGGAAGGAATGCATAGGTACTCGCTTAATTCTGCCGTCTGGTTAAAGTGAAACAGTCACCCAGGGGTGTTTTGTTGTAACCTGAACAGCGCTCCTGTAATTTATTTTGATTACTTGTATTTTCTTGTCAGCACAGAGGTGTCAGGCTCTGCAGTGCTGGTAGCAGATGCTCCTAAAACTTTCATATCACAAATATGCCATCAGGATTGCATGGAAGGGAGTGAAAGGTTTTTGTCATTTACATTTTTACACTCCTCTTTAATGCAAACAGTGGGTTGCCTCTTGGGTTCTTAGACTGCCAGATTCTAGGGGAGAAGAGATTGCAGGGACCAATCTAGCAGCACGGTGGGACCAAGGATCAGGTGCGTGCATCTGCTTTATTTGAGCGTTCTAGACAAGACAAGCACTTAACCCTTTCTTTGTGGCAGTAGCCCCACTGCAAGGGAATGCTTTTTACATTCCTGGAGTTCTTCTTTAAACACTTAAAGGGGTTCTAATCCCTCTCTACTCTACCCAAAACTAAAAATGTAGGCTATACAGTTCTATCCAAAGACCAGTATAATCAGTTGCATTATTATTCGATAGTGGAAAGTATTTGATAGTGATGTAAGTATAAAAAATATTTAACATGGTGACGTTTGTTAACATATAATGGCTACATTACCTTTTATACGACTTGTGGCTGATATTGTAGTATGTGGGTCAATGTTTTTGTCATACCAGGGAGAAACTAAAATTTCTTATATTCGTTATAACAGCCTGATTTCCCATTCAAAGTTTTGTTTTAATTCAAAGTGGTTTTAATGTTCGAATGAAGACATTCCGGTGAATATGAAACCATTTATACAGCCAAGTACTCTGATGTTTTATCACCTCTGGAGAAAAGTTGTAATTGGCAGCATTTTTAGTGATTATACAGTGTAACTTTGCTGGTTTGCCGCCAGCTGGCTGACAGGGTTTTAATGTTTTTTTCAGGAGTTCATGTCTGAACTCGAGCAGAGTTCTGGAAAAGTGGAAAAGCTAAAGGCTGAGCTGAAAGATTTGCTGGAGAAGCATCCGAACTCTCCCGAGGCTGAGAACTGGAGGCAGATGCTGGAAAATCTTAGTAAGTATGGCTTTGATGATGGAAATATGGAAAGCCTATATCTAGGTGTTTTTATTAGTCCAAACACCTTTCCTGCGCAGAAACCACTTCATGGAGGTATAGTAGAAGCAGAGTTCGCTAACCTGAAATAACAGATGTTGTGAAGATCTGAAGTGTGGATAATCCATAGAATTTTGGGCCAGTAACATTAAGATTTGCTTGAGTCATTTTTCTATATTATAACCGAAGCTGGCTGCATGAAACTGAAGCTCTCGTTTCATTCAGGGTGTCTGCCTTCCATACTAGAATTAATTTGCCCTGGTCTGGTCTCCTGAACAGACTGCCAGCACAGGCTACAGACATCAGAGATTTCAAATTGAACAGTTCAACCACTTGCCGTCCGCCCGTAGTAAAAAAACGGACGGACGGCACTGCAGCATTTGCGGGTTTGCATGACGGAATAAATGTCAGTCAAAGTACCGCAGCGCTGAATACTGAAAAATGGCCTGGATGGGAAGGGGGTTTAACACCGCGGATGTCAACTGGTTAAAGAAGATTCAGGCTGCTTAGAGTGATATATTTATTTATTTATTTTTCCTTTTGCAAAGAGGAAAAATTCCACAGATTAGTCTCGTGCCATACAGTTTTTCAATACATTTAAATTTTTTTTAATCTCTTATAAAATAACAAATTTCTAAGATCATTTAGACATTGTACCCAAAAATGAATGGTCTAAAAAAGAAAAATAGATAAACTTGATTCAATATGTACATATTGTTGTATATGTTATAGTGAAAAATAAATTGTACGTTTCTTTGGGAATTTGTAATTGAGTTCTCAGTAGATAACTATAATGGGAGCTTTTAGAGTCTGGAGAGCCACACTCCAATGTCATTATCATCATCTTTATGCTGCTGCTTAGAGTAATGTTATGTCATTAATAGGCCCTGCAGCTGAACAGCTCTGAATTGTACTCCGGACCTCTTACCTTCATGCAAATAATGTAATGCTTTTCTTTGTTGCACTCCTATAGGTAGAGTTCATAGAATGATAATAAGGGACTATGCAGTATATCTCCCTACTTGCACATTTCCCAATCTTTTATTCCTTTACAAACACTGCAAGTACAGAAAAATACCTGTTAATGTGACAGAAGCCTAGCGTGCTCTTAACTTCCTGTAGCGGGCTAACAAGGCTATCATGTGGAAAAGTATAAGTATATATTTTTGGCAATTTATATTTGAAAATAAGAGTTCTGTATTGCTCTCCTTATCCAGACAGCCAGTGGGACAGAGCTAACCAAATAACCTCAGAACGCCAGCAGAAGCTGGAAGAATCTGCCAACCAGCTGGCTTTGTTCCAAACCGCTAGCTTGCAGCTACGTCCATGGCTGACAGAGAAGGAGCTGATGATGAGTGTCCTGGGACCTCTCTCCATTGATCCCAACATGCTGAATGCACAGAAGCAGCAGGTTCAGGTGAGAGAAATGTCTAGTATTCAACTGGATGGTGATAGTGTATAGCATAGAACAGGGGTAGCCAAACTCTAGCCCTCCAGCTGTGGTGAAACTACAGATGCCATGATGCATCTTTCTCCGGGAGTCATGTCTGTGGCTGTGAGAATCTTGCAATGCCTCATGGGATTTGTAGTTCTACCACAGCTGGAGGGCCGGAGTTTGGCTACCCCTGGCATAGAGCATCGTCATAGCACCTAAACACTGCGTTTTTAAAGAGACTTCTTCAGCAAGCAAGCAAAGTACTTGTTTTGTTTTACTAATTGAGCCTTATTGAGTAAAGAGTACTGAGTTGTAAGTGCTAATTCTAAAGTGCTGTAGTCTAGTATAACCAATCTCAATGCATCTTGCACTAGCCTGACTTCGGTAGAGTGATGTATTTTTATGGTAAATGTATGCATTCATTTGATACCTGTGACCTTTTTAGACATCACATTACTCTTCTTGCCAACACTTTTACCTTCTTTTTTCCACAAAACACCATCCAGGGACAGTGTCTACATCCTGCACTGACATGTTTTCTCAACATTAAAGCAGTCATACAAATCCTAGTACCTGCACATTGGCCTTTATGTTGAGAATTGTGTCTTCATGTGCCTCAATATATTTTCATGTTGTTTCTTTTACCCGACATTCTATGACTTGCCAGAGTGTATATTACTAATGTTCAATAGGGGATGGATATTTAAAGATTGCTTCCTCCTGCCTGCAGTAGGCTCAGATGACATTCTACCATCCTGTTTATTTTAGGCATGCCTAGGCATTTCAACGTAATGTAGCGCTGCCTGCTACTACGTGCCTATAAACCATAACACTTTCATAAACTGGTAAAGGCTGGGGGGTGTATACAGGCCTCACTTTGGCTAATGTTCAGCCATTCATAACATGCCCACCTTCCTCAGTACAAGTACATATTTCTTGTCCATCACAGGGTGCGTAAATTGAAGAGCATCTAGCCCAGGGGTAGGCAGCCTCTGGAATTCCAGCTGTGGTAAAACGACAAAGCCCATCATGCCTCTGATCCCATGCCTGTGACTGTCAGAGTCTTGCAATGCCTTATAGGAGGTTTCTGAGGTTGCCTACCTCTCATCTAGGCCATAGTGATTCTGGAAGATGCACAAAACGTAGCTTCACCATCCCTTGTGGTCCTTAAAAGCAATGGAGCATGTCCCGGGACTAGGCTTGCAAAGTCCATATAAGTACTAATGGCTATGGTCACCTGGCTGCAGTATCTGGAGAAAATGGGTTGTTATCGGAGGAATGATGTGCTCAATTTTGTGCAACTAGGCTGCACGTTCACTCTACACCTTCTATTGCAGACTTTATGGGCCATTATCTATGCAGGCCTAAAGTGACCTAAACCTGGTCTCCGGAGCCCAGAGTCCAGCTTTAAGAATTAGCCCTTGTTATAGTCTGTTATGTATAAGTGATTTTTTTCCAGCGAGCTGGAACTTTGTAACCTATGCTTTCTGAAGCTCATTATCATTCAGTCATTTACGCAGTTGTGAAAATGTTTTGTCTATAAACAGTGTATTTGTAATTAATCAGTTTGTTTCTTGTGTGTGCAGCATGTCATTTTGGGGAATGATTTTTTTTTTCATCCAATCTTGATCTCTATGACAGAAATCAGGATATTGCTTGACATGCGCAAACTAGTGAATGTGCATATTAAATAAAGACTAATTGGGCCTCCTCTTCACTTGTGAATGACACAACTCAAGTATTAGTTAATATAGTAGAACATTTCACAAGTGGGTAAATGGGTGAAGGATGATGAGCATCTGGAAGGGGCATTATGAATTTATGTAAGAATAAACTTGACTGTTTCACTGAAAGTATAGATATATTTGTACAAAGGCCCACATTAAACAGTGCAGTTATTACATGCCCATATGAAACAGTACAGTTTTCATAAAAGGGGAATCCGCTTCACTGTTTATGTCTAGATTAATGTCCTATCACAATAATAGGTTCCAGAAGAGATGTGTTTTGATGTTGCTAGAGAGTAGGACAATGTCTGGCTGGTTATCTTGGCATATAATAAAATATGTATACATTCTCGGTAGCTATCATTAATACCATTCTACCACTGTATGTAATTGGTAAATGACAGTAAGGAATAAACATGGCGGACACGTAAAATCCCTCCAAGCTGAGCTGTTTATTATCTGGTTTGTTGATAGAATGGTTATAAGCAGACAGCCGTTATCCTCTTGTGAATGCGGACTTGTGATTTATGGATTCTGCTCTGTTGTTTCTTGACTTTGTGTATTCTGATCTGTCAGTTTATACAAACAGTGCGTTGTTATTTCTGTTACAGTTTATGTTAAAGGAATTTGAAGCGCGCAAAGCTCAGTATGAAGAACTAAAGCAAGCGGCCTATGGTATCCTAACAGGACCTGGTGATGAGTCTCCATCTACCAGCCAGGTGGAGGAAGACTTCAATGAAATCAATCAGAAGTGGACAGAACTTACCAACCGCCTAAATTCTAGAGCTGAACACATTGACCAAGCTGTTGTAAAGAGCACTCAGTATCAAGAGGTTCTGCAAGGCCTAACAGACAAAATCAAGCTGGCAGGCAAGAAACTGAGTGCACAGCCAGCAGTCAGCAATCAACCCGATGCTGTAAAGCAGCAGTTGCAGGAAACTAGTGGGTTTCGCTCAGATCTGGAGAACCTCGCTCAGGAAGTTGCAGAAGCACAGATTCTATGCAATGGGTTATCTGCACTTGTGGCAGAACCATACCTCAAAGATGAACTTCAAAAACGACTTGACACTGTGGCACTCCCACTTAAAGGAATGGAAGATTTGGCAGGTAAATCATAATTCAGTGTTTATTTATTTTGAATTTGAATTACTGTAGGTAACAATATCATGTCTTTAAAAAGGGTAGGGGGAAATACATAAAAGGATTGCTTGTGAGGAGATTTACCCTAAGTCTTATGTTTTGCAGCAGATCGTGTGAATAGGTTGCAGACAGCACTTGCCAGTTCCCAGCAATTTCAGCAGATGTTTGATGAACTGAGAAATTGGCTAGATGAAAAATTAATGCAACAGGCCAAGAGCCCGCCAGTATCATCCAAACTGGAGAAGTTACAACAAATTCTTCAAGACCAGGATGAATTCCAAAAGAGTCTGAACCAGAACAGCGGGTCTTATGAAATGATTGTTGCTGAAGGTGAGTCTCTGCTCCTATCATCACAGCCTGGGAATGAGAAAACTGCCCTACAGAATCAACTAGCAAATCTGAAAGCAAACTGGGAAGAGCTAGGAAAGAAGACGACAGAAAGACACAACAAACTGAAGGACTGTTTACAGAAAGCTCAGAAATTTGGTAGACATGTGGAAGATTTGGTCCCTTGGCTAGAAGACTGTGATACCCAAATGAAAGGAATGGAAGTCACTCTTGACCCTGTCCAACTTGAGGCCCAGCTTCTTAGAGCAAAGGTTCTTGAAAGTGAAATAGACAAGAAACGTTCATTGGTGGAGATGATGAATAGCACGGCTGATCTTCTGATCGAAGCGACTGAGGTCGATGACCAAGAAATCTTAGAGGAGAGAGCCAAGCTCAATCAAAAGATGGACAGTATTACAGAACAGCTGCATATCAAGGCTGAGTCCATTGAAGAAATGTCCTTGAGACTTAAGGAACTAAATGATGGTTTTAAAAATATTGATAAGAAACTCGAAGGAGCAAAACACCACCTGGAGATTTATGCCGCTCTCGGTGCTCAAGCATGCAGCAGTAAAAATTTGGAGAACATGAAATCTCAGCAGGACATGCTGCAGAATTTAGATACACAAGTTCAATACTTAAAAAATCTAATCCAAGGTTTGACAGAAGATGCCCCAAAAGGCTCTGATATCTCTCGTCTTTTACATCAAGCAGAAGATGTGCAGCATAATTTTGAGACTGTAAAACAAGAGGTTAATGAATGCTGTTGCAGTATGGAGCAGAAGCTCCAAGGAATAGGCCAGTTTAATTCCCATGTTAGAGACATTTTCTCTAATCTAGCAGACTTGGACGATGAACTTGACAACATGGGCCCAGTGGGGCGGGATGTAGACAGCCTGAAGTCTCAAGCTGAAGTTGTCCAACAGTTTCTAGAATTGCTCCAGAGCTTAAAATCAGATATCGAATGTTCTGAAAAGAAATGCAGAGATATGTTGGAGAATGAAGGAGGTCCTGACCTCATTGGATTAATGCGGGAGCTTGGGACATTAAATAAGCAATGTGCTAAGCTGACTGAACGTGGCAAGAATAGACATGAACAGTTAGAAGCTACACTGGGCAGAGTGGAGGACTTCAACATGAAACTGAAGGAGCTGATTTATCAGATCATGGCAGCAGAGGGCAGCAGTGCTTTGCAGGAGGTCGTCGGAAGTGAAGTTGAAGCTATCAAGCAGCAGTTAGAAGATTTTAAGGTACTCATTTTGAGTTATAAGACTTTCTGAGAAATGTTGTATTTCTTTTAAATTATTTTCAGGCTATTACAGCAGCTTAGTTGCTTAAAGTCAAAAACATGCCACAAAACAAAAACTTGGAAAAACCGATTTGAGCATAAAATATTAATTATAGTCAGAGGTATATACAGCTGCAGATCTTAACTTTCCCAGTAAAAGACAAGTTTGGTTATATTTTCCTGACCTCACCTGGTGGATGACCACATTGGCCAACAGGGAAGCTCATTAGATAGGAGGGGATGGAGCCAAGCTTGACTTTTACAGGAAAGTCAAGATTTGCATACCATTTCAGCTGTCTATCTTTGGAGCTGCTGATCATTTTGACTGTGTTGGCAAAGGTAATCCCTGCCTTATGCGTTTCTTTTTATCAAATGCTTAATTTACATAGACGTTAGAACTATGCTGATTTTGCACATTGAACCTTTTTCTACTCCCTCTGCTTTTCAGTCATTGAAATAATGGTAGTGATGTCACTACTTGATATAATTGTAATGGCGTTCATGTAATTTAAAGTGAGAGACTAGCAACCTAGTAGTGTCTAGCTAGGATTGTGTAATAGGAAATGAAGGCAAATATTTGGTTGCAACAGCTAGAACCTTTTACCCGTTCTTGATCACGTACAGTATAATCTCACATTTTAGTATATATTAATTCATGCTGTTATAAATTGGCTTGATTTGTATATTACCAATTTGTAGCACAGTTTGCATGTAGGAAAATGAACTTTGAAAGCTTTCTATGATTTTGTTGCGTTGTTTCCCTGCACATGTTATTAGATATAATGTAGTGTGTATATGGCATGGTAGGCATAACCATGAGCATGCTCATGTTTATATAGAAGTATACAGGTGAAACTTGAATAATTAGAATATCGTGCAAAAGTAATTGCAGTAAGTGCTGCAAAAGGGGCCCAAACCAAGTACTGAGTACATATGCATGCTTATACTTTTCAGAGGTCCGATATTGTTCTATGTACAATCCTTGTTTTATTGATTGCATGTAATAATCTACTTTTTTGAGGTTGTGGATTTGGGGTTCTTGGGGTTTTCATGAGCTGTAAGCCATAATCATCACAATTATGACAAATCACGGCTTGAACTATCTTGCTTTGCATGTAATGAGTCTATCTCATATACTAGTTTCACCTTTTAAGTTGCATTAGTGAAATAAATGAACTTTGCACGATATTCTAATTATTCGAGTTTCACCTGTGTGTATATGCAGAAGGTAAAGTTCAGCTTTTTTTTTTTTTATTACCGAATATTGTAAGATTGTTTTTGTCCACACTGAAGAGATTTCCTCTCACTTCCTGTCCTATTGTAAAGAAGAGTGGGGGTAGAGTGTCACTGGTACAAGAAGTCAGGGGAAATCTTCCCAGCATGGGAACATCAATAACAGCCTGACAGGGGAGCAATCCGTCTGTGCTCCATCCCAAAATGTAAAAAAAGAGATGCGGTTTAATATTTTTGTCAGGTAAATAGAAATATTGCATATTCATTGTATTGTATTTTCCTAAAATTTTGTCTGCTCCTTTTCATGCTTTCCTCTGTTTAAAAAAAAAAACTGCATTGTTTCAGCTATATAGCTTAAGCTGAAATGTAAAGTTACAAGTAACGGATTCAGAGAAGTGACACATTCCGTTTTAGACAACTGTGTCTGTGATTTCAGTCAAAGGAAACAAGCCTCAAAGCAGGCAGCTTCTGTTGTCAGACCATATCCTGGAGGACTATGGCCAGCAGGAATATGTTTGGTTTCCTATTAGCTTCCTATCAAAGCTGGTTTGAAATCACAGCCACATATAACCTCCTTTTTCTCTGAATCCTAATCAATTATACTAACACAGTATTGTCGACATTAATCCTGATTTAAAAAGGTCCTGTTGGGGCGTGGCCGGGATGTGAGACTGAGCAGACGTGTCTCACTGCAGCTCCCGACATCCGTGCTACATCCTGACCCTTAGCTAGCTGACAAACCGGCCGAAATACTCACCCAGTACTGTAGGGTGATCCGGTGACTCCAGCCTTCTCCTTGATGCGGACCAGGAGACGATCGACCCGGTCCCGAGCGAGCGGTGGCACTCCAGGCCGGCCTGCTGACACGTGCGCCGGCGCCATCTTGGCTGCACGAGCTGCTTCTCTCACCTCTGCAGGCACACAGACGGCGGTGTGGGACGACATGGAGACGGATTCTGTTGAGCACATTATTTACCTTCTATTTTTGATGCAGGTTTATATTCATGTAGGAGCTTCTAAAATGTAATGAAACTTTTCAGCTAACCAGGCTCTCTTAACTTATATCATACTCAGGCTTGAGTATTTGCAAGAACATCTGAAGTCAATGGAAGCCTTTTTGTTAATCAGATTACAGCACCTTTGGACGCATATACGTCAATGGAAGCGCCTGAAAATGTGCGTGTTTTTACGCGTTTGTGCACACGTTTGCTCATTCACCGCAATGCATTTCAATCTGCTTAACAAAATGCGTGTCTAACTCACATAAAAATGTGCAAAACCGCGCTAAATATGCGCTAAACCGCTGACACCTAGGTGTGAACGGAGATTAAAATGCATGGCCAGATAGCAATTACAAAGAAGCACACCACAAATCCTGATGAAGCAGATCAATTGATCTGAGAAACACGTAGAGTGTGCACCCCTACAACCCATCTTCTATTTCAATGTAAAATACTTGGTTTGAAATTGAAAAATATATTAAGTACTTAGTTCTATATATATATATGAGATATTTTTGTAGTAATTGCTACTGGTTTCATTTCCTTAAAGCAGAATTCTGGTCACAAATTGTATTAACCCTTTAAGTGCGGGGGGTAGCCCTGCTGGTTCTTGTCTAGGTTCAAAAAAAAGTTATACTCACCCAATGCTCCAAGCCAGCCATCTCTTAGACTGGTCCTTTTTACCTGTCTGCCCCTCTGCTGCAATTGTCTAAGATCCCTGAGTGGTCATGTTCTGTACACAGTGTGTAGGATGTGAGGATGCCAAGGACATACCATTGCTACAGCATAGGCAGGAGGGGGGCTGGAGGGAACACTGTGACAGCCAGCCGGATCTGAGGATCGGGTATGTGTATTTTTATTTTTGACCCTAGACAAAAACGAGCACTTAACCCTTGCGGGGG